AATAGGTGATACATCATGAATCACAATATAATTTGATTGAAAACTATTTTAAAACTTGTTGACACTTTAATCTTGAGATTTCGCTCTAGTGATTGCGTTTGTAATTTCTTAAAGTTATGAATTGAATTTTGAGACGATTCTTGTTGTGTTGGATTGGTCTCATCAAGATGCATCATTTAGCTGGAGGTCAAGAGGGGGTTGTGGCCCATGACAGTTCTCTAGGGCCCTTAAGCTCATCCTTTGATTTTAGGTAAGCATTGAAAACTTTGGATAAATTATGTAAAGAAACTTTATAAACTATATTAAAGTGTTATTATGTTTTTTTAAATTTTCCCTCTTAAATTGATAGTATTTAATGTTATCTTTGTTTCTCTTTAATAATGACTTAATTTTGCGGTCCAAACCTTTCAAGAGAATGTTTTACTTTGGGCATAAGTTGTTGGAAAAATGAGATTTCCAACATAAGTTTAGTACTATTAAATTGGCAATCCAAATCTTTATACTTAAGAGGTTATTTGGTTGAGTGTATAAAAATAGTTCCAAATAGGATGTACTAATATTATTGGATTAATTATGATGAGATTTTTTCCTATTCACAATTTGATTTGGTGTTTAGTGGTAGTTCTGTACTTTTACCTATGTTTATCCATTTATTAATATCTTATGTATTGTTGATGTAATGATATGTTATGTAGTAGTTATACATCATCTAATATAATACTAAATAAAGTGTATAATGAAAGACTAAAAGTTCTATCAAACAAAGAATTAAATAATATCAAAAGCTCAAAAACTAATACATGTATTACATCCTCTAATAAGAACATTATATCTTAAGAAGATCATACATTGAACGTATGACTTGGTATAACTTGTGTCTTAGACATAACTACTAAACTTATATCTCAAGGCACAAGTTATGTCTTACAATTTATAAGTTCAATTTTAGAACTTTATCTCTTAAAAAGTTTATACTAAGCAAAATTTAAAAATTTAGATAACATAGTGGCGGTCTAAGCATCGTATTTTAAGTCCTAACCGCTGCTATTGAAATAATTAATATAGCGTATAAAAAACCATCGTGTTATTTAGTATTTGTGGCGGTTTTGTAAAACCGTCGTAATAAAATCGTCGCAATACTTTCATTTTTTGTAGTGATGTCACCAATCGCTTCATTCTCATTATTAAAGTATGTTTGATTCTCAACAAGTTTTTGAAATATATTATTTTATAATTCTCTAAATTTATACCGTTATATATAAAATCGTTACTGACAAATAGTGATCTACTATTTTCCCTGAATTTGCGCCTCAGACCATGAGAAACAATATTCATCAAAAGAAATCCATGAGAAAATAAAGATCATACAGTATTCATCAAGAAAATGCAACATGTTCTCAAAGAACTCAATCAGTTTCAATCTATTACTCTAAGTTGAAAGATGAGTTTGGATTGATGATCCTAACATCTAGTTGTAACTGTGAAGGATCTAAGGTATATGTTATGTATCTACAATGACAAAAGTTATACCAATTTTTCATGGGTTTGAATGAGTCATATTCATAAGTAAGAAGTCACATTCTTTTAATGAGTCATTTACCAACTGTGAATTAGGCGTATGTAATGATAATGAGAGATGAGAATCAAAGAATTATCGCAAGCTTAGCTAAAGCAACTCAGACTGATAACAAGTTTAATCTACTTAATAACATATTCAATCCTACTCGCAACATATTTAGTCAAACAAGAGTAGGATGATAATACATATACATATCATAAATTAAAATATACATATGTTGTTTAAAGCACATGAGAGCTTATGATTTTATTTATGTGTGTATAATTAAGATATATAAAAATAAGGTAGTGGATGTGAAATAAATGTATAATAACAATATGTACAAAATACCGTATACATAATAACAATTTATAATATGTGGTAAAGAAAAGTAGTGTGTATGTATATATACACAGAGCATACATAATTTGTGCATGCATTGAGTATGATGAATGAATAGGAAGTAAAATAACATGTGTAATATTTCACATCTTGTATTTTTTTTGGGCCTGATTTTAGTAATCTGAAATGGACTAGTTGTTAGGCCCAAAATTTCTGCTAAACACTTCGATAGAAATAAAATTGGGCCAGTTTTTTCAAAACACATTCATTTCATTAGAAGGGTGAAACTTTGGGCCAAAGACCAATTCATTCTTTTAAAAATGGAAACTGTATAATAATACAAATATAGATGTATTAGATACACTAATTTAATTTATATTTTCAAATACTTATCTACCATCACACTATTTACTAATTTTGTATCATATTTAAAGTGAGATACAACACTCTTTTAAAATAACCTAAAATTGAGTTCTTATTTATCTACCCACCTAATCACATTCCTAAATTACGCCTCCCAATCTCCTCCTTCTTCCTCTCATATTTTTCTTCAGTTACTCACCACCCTTTAAATGAAAATGGAGCACTACACATATGAATTTTGAGGTTTGTAATTGATTTTCTCCATTATTTAAGCTATGTATTTGATTTTTTTTTTTTTTATAGTTTTCAATAATTATTTTCTTTGAAATGTATAGTTATACCAAGTTCTTTTTTTAAAGATCATTGAATAAGACTTTGTTAAATTACTTTGACGGCTAAAAAATCTTCAACCAAGAGAATTGTTAATAATTATACAACACACTACTGAGAATCTATTCAAAATAGAGCTTCTTATGATTTGAATTTCACCGAAGAATATTCTATTTTGGGTCATCTTCTGAGGTTGTTGCTGCTAGTGCTCATGAAGGAGTTGATTTTGACATTGTTACCATTATACATTGAAATTTATACATAATTCATGTATCTAATATATACTTCATAAATTTGTAATGTAACCAACATGTATCTTATATATATGCAATATGCAACTATTAGTAAATGATCAATTTTTTTTATAACTATCTATTATAGTATCTGATACACACTGGACATGTATATGATATCTGATAAATGACTATGATACATACTTCATGAAGTTTTCAGATACATTTAATTTGATATCAAATACAACAACTATGCAACAAGCTCATGTCATAGTTTAGATGAATCAGATATAATGTCAACTTTGTATATGTATGAATCTGTAGATTAATTCTATCTTTTATATATATATATATATAAAAAATCAAAATTGAATTATAGGAAAGAAAGAATAAAAAGAAAAAACGAAAAAAGGAAAAAAAAAAAGACATCCCTCCTTTTTGCTTTTGCAATTAGATTCTTTTCTTTCTATTTCGATTTTTTTATTTCATTCCTATTCTCATTTCTCAGAAAAAGGGCCTTTAACCAAAGTAAAAGATTACTTCGTTCTTGATAGTTAGTTAGTCATTCAGTGGATAGGAACATACTCTGGATCAGAATCATGGGGAGTACTTCTTGATCATTTCTACGAACGTAAAGCCCCCATTTGAATTCCTTTTATGTACAGAAATATCCTCTTGGATAACTTACATAATCTCAATTACTAATCCTTTGTGTATCTTGGTCTTCCTAACTAATATAATCCATATACAGTTTTTAATGATGAGTTAACACCCAATAACATTCAAATACATTATATTAGTTCTAGATACATGCTAAAAAGTATAATTTCTATACATTTTTATAAAAATTAGTTCATATACGATAATACTGAAATTTGGATAAGACACATGTCCCTAATTACTTGTTAACTTTTGAATTGACACACCTATTTAGAAAATAATGATTGACACAATGAATTTACCATTTTACCCCTAATAATGTTGAAGTTGATGAATTAAAATTTAAGATTTTCAAAATAATTAATTAAGGATATAATAGGTAAATGAAAGTTGTCATTTCTTGATTTGTCAAAATTGACAAGTAATTAAGGATAACTTAAAAAAGAAAAAAATGAACAACTAATTAGAAACAGAGGGAGTAAATCTTGACTCCTAAAATTTAACATTTCGATTACAATTTAAAATCTTATTTGGACCCGCTATCCGACCCATTTAAAATCAATTCTCGATTGTCAACATTATCGAGCTACAAAAACGAGATCTAAGAACAAGAATATTAATAAGCGCGTATGTACATGTTATTAATTAATTAGAGGACCAAAAAGGTCCCATCTACTCATTAATTCCCTTTTTACCAAAAAGAAGAGAAGCGTAAACACCAACTAAAAAGCACAACCATGTTTAAATACTACTCCTTTAAAACTATTTTTATAATGTTTGAATAAAATAAAATTTAAGATAAAAAATAAACAAAAAATAAGCTTTATAAAACGAAAAGCTATAAACCCATTAAAACAAGCCACTTCCTCCGTTTTAATTTATGTAATGTAGTTTGATTGACATGGAGTTCAAGAAAAAACGATAAACTTTTGAAATTTATGATCTAAAATAAGTTAGAGAATATTTGTGTGATTATAAATTATTTTATTAAAGATAAAATAAATATGTTAAATTTACTTAACCAATATACTAAAAATAGATATCCAATTTTACTTATTCAATTTGAAAAATCAAAAGATAATTTACTATTTTGTGTCTATTTTATCTTTGTTACTAAATATTAATTTTTCAATATTTAGATAACTTATAATTATTAGAAATGAAATAGAAAATCTACCCCTCTAATTACTGTTTTTTAAAAGATATGTCAAATTAGACCTGAATAATAAAAGATCATGAACAAGAGAATAATACTCCATTCGTTTAAAAAAGAATGACCTTTCTTTTTTAGTCTGTTTCTAGACTATTCTTTTTAAAATCGAAGGAGTAACTAAAAAGAAAAATAAGTCATATAAATTTGAAGCGGAGATAGAGGGAAGTATAAAAAAGCTAAAGATAGTAGGTAGGGTAATCACCACACTACACTACACTACACCAAACCAAAACCAAAAGCTGCAACATAATTCAAAAGCAAAAACCAACAACTCACATTCAAAAGTTTTTAAACAAGAAGGATGATAGAAGAACAACGGCATGGACCTCCACACGGCATTCTCTTTGCCGTAGTTGTAGTAGCAGTCATCTTAATCCCAACAATCCTCGGTGAAAATGGCGAAGCAATTACTGATTTCATCTCCGATCTTCTTACCCCAATAGGTCTTCTCTTACTCCCTATTATTCTACTCCTCACTATCCAATTCCTCTCATCCGACACCGGCTCATTCATCAACACCATTTTCTCCACCGGTGAACCTAATTCCATTCACCGTGTAAGTGGGTCCCCTGTTGGCGTTGCTCTTTTTCTCGCACTCACATTGTTCCTTCTCTATAACCGCTTTTCCATCTTCGGTGGCGATGATGATTCCGGCGACTGAAATTAAACACTACTTTGGCTAGATCTATCTTTTATTTTCAAGTGTATAGTGAACCCTACCGGTCCGCCGGCTCTCTAGTATTGTACGGACCTAGAATATTTTCATGTATGCAAAATCCCCACCCTTTCAATTCCGAACAAGTTATTTGTAGTCAGTTGCATGATTCATATGTATTTATTTTATTTTATTTTATTTTATTAGTTTAGAGATGTTTTGTTCCAATATTCTCCTTTTTCATACTTCGTATGCTATAAACAAATCATATATTTTTAAAAAAAGTAGATAAATTTAATAATGAGATGATTTATAAGTTTTGCATAAATATATTTGATTTAGATCATAAATTTCAAATTATTTAGTTTGTTTGATCTATTTTGACTTAACAGGGAATTTAACACTTTGTTTGGATGATTGTTATGTATTGTTTCATAATGTATCACATTGTATTGTTTTAATGAATACAACACTTGGATAGATTATATTGTTCTCGATCGTTATATAATGTCGATAAATCTATAAGAAATTGCAAGGTACAAGGCATAACTACTATGAAAAGGTAAGGTAACAATCAAAATAAATATTGTATTTAGACTAACAATACAATACACTACAATGGATAACAACCATCCAAACAAGGTGTAAGAAAATAAAAAACTTTTTTTAATCTTGTAATGTTAAATTAAAAATATGATAAATATACCAACATATTCTTTAATTTTATTATCTTAACATATTATGTAGAAACCATTCTTTTATTAAACGTGTTAAAAAGAAAAAATAGAACAATTCAATTAAAACTGAGAAAGTATTTTTTTTATAACTCTATGGTGGCTAAGGTCAAATATCTTTACATGAAATGGGAGAAGAGGGAGTATTAAATAAGTCCAAATGCTATAAAGCTAGGGTTTTTTCGAAAACAACCACACATGTGTACTATATAATATCGTTACCATACATTTAGAAATTACTGACAAAATCTTGAATAAAATGTAGTACATTGGATATTTTAGGGGGGTATAACTGTCATAAACAAAATAGGGCCATGAGAGTTTATTCATATTCTTGAGAGTAGTTGAGGTATTTCATTTTCTTGTTGGTGATATTTATTCTTTCCGTTCACTTTTACTTATCAGTGTTTGACTTGACATATTCATTAAGAAAATAATTAATGATATAGATGTTTTTATCAAATTACCCCCTATTAAATAATGTCTTGAAAAATAATTTAAAAAATAAGTATTTAATGCTGAGGATAAATAACATAAATTTTTTTATTATATTTTCAAAAATATATTTTAAGAATAAAGAACCACTAAAAGTGAAGGGAGGGAGTATTGTTGCATTGGTCTCAAAGAAAGAGTTGAAAATATCACACTTGCTCAGCAACTGTACTGTCAGTCCACTTTGACTATGCTATTTCCCACCGCACTATTTTACTTTAGAGTTGTTTGCCCAAGTGATTGGGAGTTTAAAAATGAAATATTTTTTATTAAAAAATTAAGGTGTTTGATTGATTAGTAAAATTTATTTTAAAATAAAACAGAAATAATTTAATATGAGAAATATTGAGAAAATCGTTTAACTTCTGTAAAATGTATAAATGTCCAAAATATGGCCGAAAATGATGAGGCTTTACTTACTGTTCCCTCAATTTCCTACGGAGGGAGGGGTTTGTAAATGTTTTGTAAAAGACCGACTAGAAGTCATAGCGCGAAAATGTTCATGGGTTAACACACACGAAAAATTGAGAAAATCATTTAATTCCTATAAAATGGCTCCTAAAATAATATAATTTTCTTTGTTTTATTTTATGTTTTATATATTATTATTTTCATTGATTTATGAGAGAAGTATTGAAAATACCCTAAACTCAGCATGAACTATTAGTTTTATCCTCTAACTATTGACAACCTTAAAAACTACTCTTTTACTTGACTAAATGAACTTAACTACACTACTGATCTAGCAACATAAGTGAAATATGCCCCTAAATATTTTCATCAAATTTAGGAATGTTTTCAACATTGCTCTCGATTTTTTTATTAAGACTAGAACTCCATGTTCCTATAAGAGTTTGAGACCACTTGCTATGTCATGTGGCAGATCAAGAGTATATCTAAATTTAATTAGTCAAGAGAGGTATTTTTAAAACCGTCAATAATTCAGGAATGAAACTAATAATTTGCATCAAGTTTAGAGGTGTCCTTATTACTAGTTCAGGGGTGTCCTTATTACTTCTCTCTTGATTTATCTATGTATTATTATATTGATTGAAAAAATTGTTGCATCTACATTTTTTTAATTAAATAAAAGTAAAAACTATAAATTAAAAACTATCTATCTATTTATATCGTATATATTTATTTTACCTATCTATATACATAAATTTCATATTATATAACTACTTTCATGTTTCATTTATTTGTCTGCTATACTTAGGGCCCGTTTGACCATGCGATATAGAATCATAAAATAGGATCATGATATGATATTATAACATGAAATTATGAGATGAAGTTAAGCTTTATTTGGACATGCGATAGGAAATTTTTGTGTTGTATATTTTTTCATAAACATAAGAATCTCATAAGTTGTAGAACTATTAAAAAAACCCTAATTGTTTATTCAATCTTACCAAATAAACAAAAAAATATAAAACCACGTGGAGTGGTAAGAAAAATAATTTAAATTTTATTTTTTAAAAAAATATTTTTTTTATGGATAGTAATACTTTAATTATTAATTTTTAATTAATATTAATAGTTTATTATTTAATTTTTGTCAAGGTGGAGTGTCATGTGTCAATGTGTTTTTTTCAAATAAAAAAGAAAGTGTATTGCACACACCACTGAGATATGTTTCTCAAACTAAAAAATGATAGTTTAGGTATGAAACTCACACTCTTAGTAGTTTAAGTATGAAACTAAAAAAAAGAGACATTTTAGGTGTGTTTTTGACACTTATTTCTAAAAAAATTTGAATATAAATTGTAGTGTACTTAGGGGTGTGCATTGGTCGGTTCGGTTCGATTTTATGTATTATCGGTTCGATTTATCGGTTTTCGGTTTTTAAATATGCTAACCCAATAACAAACTAATAAGATATTTTTTATCGGTTTATAATTTTTGATCATTATTGGTTCGGTTTTCGATTTACCCAATAAGAAAATGTCCATAAAATATTATATGACTTCTCACTTCTCTAAATGCTTTGATATAGTGAAACAAGAAAGATAATGAGAAATTGCATCAATAAGAGAAAATATAGTACAAATGTTATAATTACATGTCACCGCCAAAACATAGTATGTAATTTCTTATTTTTATCAAATTACAGACATTTACAAACTTGCAAAAGCTACAACCTACGGTTACAAATTAAAACTAAAATCAAATAGTCCAACAAGACTAAAACTAAAACTAAAATCAAATAGCTACAATTGTGAACCCTTACTTTAGTCTTTAGGTTTTGATTAATTAAACAGTAAAGACTACTAAAACAGCCTAGTGTGAAGGGGGTAAAGTACTAATAATTTGATATAGTTATAGTGTCTAGTTATATATTAAATTATTAATATCTAATAGTAAATTATTACCGTCTTATTGGGTTATCGGTTTACCCAATAACCCAATAGTAAAAACCGATATCGAACCAATAACCCAATAACTTATTTTTATAAACCCATTAAAAATCCAATAACCCAATAACATTTTTTTGGTTCGGTTTGTTGGTCGGTTCGATTTTTGCACACCCCTAAGTGTACTAGTCTTTAATATAATCCTCCACATAGTACAAACAATCTCCTCACGTTGAACTTGCATTTCTCAATCATATGATTGAGAAGACGAACCAACATTGTTACTTTGAGCCATTTGTTGGTCAATACCATTCTCAACTATATTTTCATGCTCATAGACTATAAATATTTCATCACTCCTTTGGTTTTCTAGCAAATAATTATGTAACACTGTATAAGCTATGACAATTTTCACTTTTGTGTCAATATCATAATGGTTCCTGCCTTGTTTCACTTGTGTGCAATTACACATTTTCAGTCCATTAATTTCGTGCTAAAATCAAACATATTGAAAGTAGTGATTATCAAACATACGTCACCACTTTTGTCTTTTTTCATATTAAATTGCTTTAAACATTTTCATATGTAGCCAAAAGAGAGTTTTTATTATTATGAAAAACCAAAAAAGTATCACTCCCTAGTCCCTCTGTTCTTATTTATATTCACCAAATCAGTTCCTACTTTATCATTTACATGTCCAAACGCTGATTCCATCTCATGATTCCATATCGTGATATGATATCGCATGGCCAAACGCCTACTTAATAATATAATGTACCTAAAATAACTTTATATATAAATATATATCTATTATTAATTAACACGATACACACCTACACTTTACTAATTTTCTCAAAATAAATAGGGTTAAATGGGCTTATGAAGGAAAACATTTGTCGATCTTTGAACAATATAACTCAATGTAATAGGTAACAGGAACATCAGGAATAAACTTTCTTATGATATAAACATGATTAATATAGCACTTGTTGGTACGAAAGATCGTGGGATGCTTGTCAAACATTGATAGAATGAATACACGTGTGCAAAACACGTACACATGATGAACTTTCTAACAATGAATACTTGGTTCACCTAAGAACACTTGTTCTCCCCCCGTCCCAAAGCCCTACATCATAATTCATAATGGCCTGATATATGACGCTCCATGGACAGTGTTCCGAGGCGCAGTTCTGAATGTGAAGCTATATATTGCGACCCCTGAATAATTCCCTATGCTGGCAGCCTCGTTGATGTTAGTTTCAATCGCGCTATGACATGCTATCAAGTGAACAATATAACTGAACTATAAGACGGCTGGTCATACTTAATCAACCAAGCAGAAGGGCCTATTCCTTCACAGCATACTACAAGTCTTCAATTACCACCACCTTATAGCTCCATGCACACAGTCGACAGACCT